ATTTTCTCTATCCCCATATGTCTCAATCTCCAATCTTCATTCCTATCTATAGCAGCAGAGCATGTACACCATGCATATACTTTGGCAATATGCAAAGTAACCAGAATGGCTTAACAATAAATAATCACCCCTCTGAAAACTGTATCATTCCACAGCAAGCATAAGTCAAGTGATACAAAGATATTTATCTGAAAATAGCAATTAAATAACAAGATTAACCATACGTCAAGATGATACATCAAGCGTTTATTCTCTGAACTTAGAGATTTATATTGAATATAATTTATATTCAATCAGGGGTTTGTTTGTTTATTTATTTCTAATAACATATACCCCAAAGAAATGGAAGACAGTTAGATGCTGTGATTTATATCAAAGAAGATAATATTCTTAGTGGGAGGTAGAAAGCATAGAAGAAATATGTTAAAAATGTAAAAATAAATTTCTGTTGTTTTATAGGTGGCCCTGAAATTAAAAATATAAGTACAGCTCTAGTTTATATTTCTTAGAATGCTAATAAAATAATATTTGAACACTAGAGTCAATACGATGATATGGGAAGAATATAGGTCTGTAAAGTGCTTATGGTCCTAACTCTGGAAGGATTCAGCTGTATGACATTTATCAAATGTTCTCATTTATCAAACAAAGAAATTATACCAAATAATCTCTATGGTCTGTTCTCAGTATTTGAATCTTGAAAGTAATATTTAGAATGCGATGAACTAGAATCATTTCTCATATGCTATTATCTAGTTGCATATTTTGTGTTATTTTTTATTTATATATTAAGAAAAGTACAAAGTGAAAGTATATTTTAAATATACCTATTGTTCCTTTCTTTGTCATTTATGGTATTAATATTATCTAATTAAAGTTAGGTATCTCATTGCACATTTAAGGAAAAGGAAAATCACTTTAAAATTTGCTTACAGTTCTATCTCAGCGCAAATATTATCTTCAGTGGTAAAGTAATTTCTTCTATTTAAATTTTATTTTACCCATTGAGAGTATGAAATAAAAGCAAGACAAAACCCTGGGCTCTCCTGTAATTCCCTTGTTTATTTGCATATATGATTTTTCATATGCATGCATACAATATTTGAACTAATAAATATATTTTAATTTGTAAGTTCATTCAGGAAGAGCCACTTGATAGCCAAATGCCACTAAGACATAAAATCTAAGACTTCGGTTCCTGTATGTAGGAACTCTGATATTTATGCCAGTTCCTAGGTAGACCCTAAAAACTGATGCAAAAAATTTATCCTGAGGCAAACATTTTTAAAAGAGAGTGTTCTATGTTAAAAGACTCTCGACCAGCTTTGAATGAGTTCATGAGAAGCAAGCTAATTATTTGCCACTAAAACTAGATGTAGATTCCACTCATAGATATATACTGATTTTTTTCTTTGACTCATCAAATCATCATCAACGGCCAAGGCATCACCTGGCTTCTCCTTTATAAAGCTGAAGGAAACACTTTGAGGAGATCTGCAGTAAATTTTTAAGGGGAAACATTCTATAAATTTTGAACATTATCACTGATTTATTCTTTCTTAAGTTCCCATATATAAATAGCCATCAAGTTTTGGTTCTTCCTCAGGTTACTTAATAATCAGATTATTATGAAGAAATTTCGGTATAGTAGAAACAACAATTTGTTATTATTTCCCAGTAGAAAATATAGTACATAAAGAATTATAAGAAAATTTTGTTGTCTTGGGGTAATAAATAAACAGTGATATCTCTTGCTTCCTTGTCTATTTAGAAGCTTACAGTGATTTCTGTTATTTTTCACACCACTTTTAAGAATTTTGCCTGCATTTCAGAGGCATTTATTAACTGACAACTTTGCATAGCTCAGATCTCATGTAGAAATCCTGAATGGTCACTACTTCTACTTTTTCCATATAACCCTGCCTACTTCCTGTCACACATTAGTAACAATAATAATTACAAAACAACTAATATTTACTGAAGACTTATTCTGTGAAAAAATAGAGACTTAAAAAGACCATTATTTATTTTATTCTCACACACAAAATGCAATGAATTAGGGATAGTGACATCAATGAATGATAGAATAGGAATTTTCAGTCCCTCCTTCCTCTGTGGAGACAGTGGCAAATACATGAATTCATTCTTTTTGTGAGTAATCCACAAACCAGTTAAGAGACTGCTAAACCCCAGGTGGTTGCAAAACTAGCTGCATCAAAGCCAGTAAAAATTGATGGCAGTCATTCATCACAGTCCTTCCACTTGGCTCAGGATAGTATGATTGGGAAAACACTTCCCAGCTCCTGGCTTCTTTCTGGGTAGCAAAGGAGAAAGCTGAAATATGTCCAACATTCATACTTTTTGGAGTACTGCTCAAGGCACTGATTTCTGTCTTTTCTAAATGTTAAGTACTGACAGAAAAGGACACCAATTTGACTGTCACTGAAACAAAAGTGATGCTTAGGACTTAGCACTCACTTAAGCATCATAGTCCCACATTTCCCTTTAGTTCAGGGTAAAATGAGCAAGAGAAATCTCCAAGACATGTTTTCTCCCAGGGGAAGGAAAGCGTTGAAATGTGTTACCAGTATTCAGAAATATTTTTTTGGTGATGCGGGGGGAATGGAGGGCGGTTTCTCCAAGGGACTGGCCTCTCTCTTGACTGTCTTGGAGTCCTAATGAAACCTAGTATACTACAGAAGGCTGTGGGCCACAGAGAATAAAACAGAACTAGGCATCTGGTGGTCACTCCAGAGAACCTTCAGTACTTCTAACATGCACCAAGGGAGTAAAAGAACACAAATTGTTGGAAAAAGTGAAACTGGAAAATCGCTCTGATTTACAATTTACACACATGAGTCCAGAGAAGATTCATCCATAAAAAGGGTTTGAGAAGCTGTTGGAGTCTATAGGTGTATTGATTAATGAATATCTTTCCCTGTACCAGTTTTTAAATTTTGGAAGAAGTGACTACTTTGACAAATGTGTGAATTCAAAGAAAAATTTACAAGGCACATAAAGAAATAGGGAAACACGGCACAACCAAAGGGGCAAAAGAAAATTTCTAAAAATGGACCCCAAACTATGGTAGTGTATAAAATATTTGACAAAGAATTCCAAGTAACTGTCAAAAACATGCTCACTATTTCAGGAAAATAATGGGTGAACAAAATGAGATTATTACCAGACATGAAAAATATAAAACAGAACCAAGTGAATTTAGACCCAAAGTATACAATAACTGAATCGAACAATCTACTAGAGAGCTTAAACAACAGACTTGATCGGGAAACTCAAAGAGTAGTTATTTGAAATTATCCAGGAAGATGGAAAAGAAAAAAATAATGAAGAAAGTTGAGGAATGCCTTAGAAAATTTTGGTACATCATTAAGTGAACCAATGTATACTTCATGAGAGTTTCAGAAGGAGAATATAGAGAGAAAGAACAAGGAAGGTTATATGAAAAAATAATGCCCCCCAAACCCCTAAACCTAGGTAAAGAAATGGACACCCAGATTCAAAAAGTTGTAGTTCCAACCGCAATAAATGTAAATAAATTCACATTGAGACACATGATAATTAAATTGTTAAAAGTCAAATGAAGACCGAATTTTGAAAATAGCAAGAAAAAAAAGACATTACATACAATGTAGTCTCTTTAAGACTATAAGTGGATTTCTCAGAAATATCTTGCAATTCAGAAGGGAGTGGGATAATATATTCAAAGTGCTGAAAGAAAAAAAATACTTCCAACCATAAATACTAAATCTGACAAAATTGTCTTTTAAAAATGAAGGAAAAAGAAGACATTCCTGAGTAAAGAAAAACTGAAGGAGTTATTGCCACTAGACCTGCCTTCAAAGGAAAGGCTAAAGGAAGTTCTTCAAGTAGAAATGAAAGGATGCTAGATAACAACAGAAAAGCATATGAAAATTTAAAGATCATAGGTAAAGGTAAATGCATAGACAAATACAGAATACTATAAAACTGTAATAGTGGTACATATGTCAATTTTAATATTGACAGAGAAGTAAAATATAAAAGTATAAAAATAACTATTACTATAAAAATGCATTAATACATACAGAGTACAAAAAGATGTAACTTATGACATCAGTAACATAATGTGTATGTGAAGAAAAACAATCCATTATAAACTAATCATAACTTCAATCAAATATAAAATAGAGTTTTATATTTGATTGAGGTTATGATTAGTTTATAATGGATTGTTTTACCTATATGATGTTTTAAATAAATCATATAGTAACCATAAAGAAAATACTGTTGAAGATACACAAACAAAAGCAAAAATAAATCAAAGTATACCACTACAAATAATTCAATGAAATGTAGACTGTAATGGAGAAAATGAATAATTTAAAAAACCTACAAGACCAAGAGAAAACAATTAACAAAATGGCAATACTAAGCCCTTCCCTTTCAGCAATTACTTTAAATGTAAATAGATTAATCTCCTTTTTGAAAAGATGGGAAATGACAGAATGAAAAAAAACACAAGATCTGGCCAGGACTGGTGGCTCACACCTGTAATCCCAGCACTTTTGGAAGCCAAGGCGGGTGAATCACTTGAGCTCAGGAGTTCGAGACCAGCCTGGCCAACATGCTGAAACCCCGTCTCTACTAAAACTCCAAAAATTAGCTGGGTGTGGTGGCGTGCATCTGTAATCTCACCTACTTGGGAGGCTGAGGCACAAAAATAGTTGGAACTCAGGAGGCGGAGATTGGAGTGAGCTGAGATGGCACCACTACGCTCCAGCATGGGTGACAGAGTGAGACACCATTTCAAAACAACAACAACAAAAACAACAAACCCCATAAGATCCAACTTAATGCTGGCTCAAAATGTTAACCAAAAAAGAGTAGAGGTGGGCCATACTTGTAAAATACAAAATAGATATTAAATAAATTGTCACAAGAAGGTTAATTGTGGTGGCTCACACCTGTGATCTCAGCACTTTCGGAGACTAAGATGGGAGATCATTTCAGCCCAAGATTTTAAGATTGCAGTAAGCTATGATTGTGCCACTGCATTCTAACCTGGGTGACAGAATGAGACTCTGTCTCTAAAAATAAATAAATAATAAATAGTCACAAAAGACAAAGAAGGAGTATGTAGTGATAATAGGGTGAAATCATGAGGAAGATGTAACAATTATAAATATTTATGCATCCAACATCAGAGCACTCAAATATATGAAGAAGTTACCGAGAGAACTGAAGGGAGAAGTAAACAGCAATTAAATGATAGTAGGAGATTTCAATACCCCATGTTCAGTAATGGATAGAACACCCGGATAGAAAGTCAATAAGAAAACAGAAGACTATAACAACAATAAAGACAAAATTGAGCTAAAAGAAATACATAGAACATTCTATCCAACAGCAGCAGAATATACATTCTTCTCAAGCACACACGGAACATTCTCTAAATGAATCACATGTTATGTCACAAAAAAAGTCTTCACAAATTAAGATGATTGAAATCGTATCAAAAATCTTTTCTGGCCACAGTGGAATGAAACTAGAAATCAATAGCAGAAGAAACATAGGAGAATTCACAAATAAGTGGAATTTAAGCAATTCATTCTCGAAACAACAAATGGGACAAAGAAGAAATAAAAAGGGAAATTAGAAATTAGAAACAAAAATAAAAACAAAATATATCAACACTTATGAGACGCAGCTAAAGCATTCTGAAGAAAGCAGTTGACAGTGGTAAATGCATATATTAAAAAAGAAGGAAGATATCAAACAAACAATGTAAGTTTGCAACTCAAAGAACCAGAAAAAGAAGGACAAAATAAGCCCAAAGTGAGCAGAAGGATGGAAATAAATATTAAATAAAATCGAGAATGGGAAAAAAAAACCCTAAGAATTGTTTTTTGAAAAGATCAACAACATCAACAAACCTTTACTTAGAATTAAAAAAAGGGAGAGAAGACTCAAATAAAATCAGAATTGAAAAAGGAGATATTACAATGAATGTGACAGAAATACAAAGGATTATAAGAGACTACTATGAATAAGTATATAGCAACAAACTAGGTAACTTAAAATACATAAATGATTTCTGAAAACATACAATCTACCAAGACTTAATCATCAAGAAATAGAAAATCTGAAATGAATAATAACTGGTAAGGAGAAGAATTAGTAATTTAAAAACTCTGAACAAATAAAATCCAAGAACAAACAATTTCACTGATTAATTCTATCAAAAATTTAAGAAACTATTCATGTCAATGCTTCTCAAACTTTTTCAAAAAATTAAAGAAGAGGGAACACTCCTAAACTCATTTTATATGGTGAACATTGTCCTGATACCAAACCCACAAAAAGATACTACAAGAAAGAAAACTATAGGTCAGTATACCTGATGAACATATATGCAAACATCTTCAGCAAATACTAGCAAACTCAGCTTAACAACATCTTAACAGGACCATATGCTACAATCAAGTAGAATGTATCCCTAGGCTGTAAAGTTGGTCCAACATACAAAAATCAATTAATGTAACATACCACATTAACAGAATGAAGGAATTTTAAAATCTTAAGATCAGCTTAATGGTGCAGAAAAAGGCATTTGACAAAATTCACCCCTGTTTAATGATAAAAACATTCAACAAACTATGAATAGAAGAAAATTATGCCACTATAACAAGGACCATATATGAAAAGCTCACTCACAGCTAACCTCATGCTTACTGGTGAAAAATGGAAAGTTTTTTCTCTAAGATCAGGGACAAGACAAGGATGCCCACTCTTGCCACTTTTATTCAACATTTTACTGGAAGTCCTCACCAAGATATATTAGACAAGAGAAAGAAATAAAAGGCCTCCACATCAGAAAAGAAGAATAATAATATCTGACATAATCTGTATCAAATGCTAAACGTCTCACAAAAACCTGTTAGAACCTAGAAACAAATTCACAAACATGGCAGGATATTAAACCAACATAAAATCAGTTTCATTTCTATACATTGACAACAAATAATCTGAAAGAGAAATTAAGAAAACACCACTTATAATCTCACCTACAGGAATAAAATACTTAAGAATAAACTTAACAAAGGATATCAAAGACTTATACACTGAAAACTATAAAGTATTGCTAAAAGTAATCAAAGACATAAACAAATGGAAAGACATTTTTGTTCATGAATTGGAAAAACTTTTGTTAAAAATGTTAATAGTACTGAAAAATCTACAAATTCAATGAAATCCCTATCAAAACACAATGGCTTTTTTTTTTGTAGAAATAGAAAAAATATTCTAATAGTCATATGAAACCACAAAGACCCTCCAATAGCCAAAACAATCTTGATAAATGAAAACAAAGTAGAGGGCTCACACTTCCTGACTTTGAAACATATTACAAAGCTACAATAATCAAAACATATGGCTCTGGCATAAAGACAGACACATATCAACTAATGAAACAGAGTAGAGAGCCCCAAAAAGCCAAAATAAGGCATATAAAGTCAAATGATTTTTGACAAAGTTTTCAAGACTACACAATCGTGAAAGGATAGTCTCCTCAACAAATGATTTTAAGAAAAGTAAATATCCACGTGCAAAAGAAAGAACCTGAACTAACATAACATAACAAAAACCAAATAAAAATGGAATAAAGACTGAAGAAGCTCTAAAACTCCTAGAAGATACGTAGGTAGAAAACTTCACAGAATTGGTTTTGGTAACGATTTCTTTGATATGAAATCAAAAGCACAAGCAACCACACAAAATGGACAAGTTAGGCTTTAAAATAGAAGGTTCTACACAGCAAAGGAAATAATCAACAGAGTAAAAAGGCAATCTAGAAAATGGTGGAAAATATTAGTAAACCATATATCAGATAATGGGTTAATATCTCATATAAAATACATGAGAAACCTCTACAACATAATAGTGGAAAAAATAACCTTATTAAAAAATGGGCAAAAACTTTAGTAGATATTTCTTCAAAAAAGACACTCAACTAGCCAATAGGTATATGAAAAGAGTTCACATCACGAATCATCAGAGAAATACAAATCAAAACCACAGTGAGATATCGCCTCATACTTGTTAAGATGGCCATTATTAAACAACAACCAAACAGAAAATAACAAGTGTTGGCAAGGAGGTGGAGAAACCGGAACCCCTGTGTACTGATGCTTGGAATGTAAAATGGTATAACAGAATACAGTTCTCAAAAAATTAAAAGTAGAACGACCATATCATTCAACAATTCCACTTTTGGATATTTAGCCAAAGGACTGAAAATGGCATCTTGAAGGAACATCTGCATCCCCATGTTTACTGCAGCACTTTTCACAATAGGCGAGATACGAAATCAACCTAAATATCTGCTGACAGGTGAATGGATAAAGCAAATGTGGTATATATATACCATGGAATGTTTTTCAGCATTAAAAAGAACATCCTATTATATGCAACAATAGAGATGAAATTAGAGGATATCATGCTTAATGAAATAAGCCCATCACAGAAGGACAGATACTACATGATTCCTCAGATATGAGTTATCTAAAGTAATCAGACTCATAGAAGCAGGGAGTAGGATGGTGGTTGCCAGAAGCTGGGGGAAGGGAGAAAATAAGGAGTTGCTATTCAATGGGTATACATTTTCAGCCATGCAAGATGTAAAGTTTTAGAGATCTGCTGTACAACACTGTGCATATAGTAGGCAGCCGCATCTTTGACATTTCAAACTTTGTTGAGAGGGTGGATTTCACGTCATGTGTTTTTGACAACAATTAAAAGTACCCTATGAAATAAGGAGTATTGTTATGCTTATTACAGATGAGGAAACTGAAGCTTAGAGAAGATGCCTAACTTTTTTCTCTGTACCTTTTATATACAGCTTCAATAATCTGAGATGTTGAATCTTCTTCTTTGTCAAGACATTTTTTAAGCTTATTATTTAATATTCAGTTATATCTACTCCTTTCCTTATTCCACACTTAGCCTCATCATCAAAAGCTTACTTCTTTTTCCAGAAAGCCCTGAAGAATATTTAGTATACTATAAATACTCATGGAAGATCAATCTAACAGACTTTTCTTTTTATGGAACATAAAGATGCTCTGACTAAAGTTCCTCTTTTGTTCTTTGGAATAAAAGATATCTCCCTTACCTTTCAAAGTTTCGACTACACAGAGTTAAAAGCACTGTCCAATAGTCATAGAGACTTGACTGATGGACAAAAATTCAGAAGCAGACACAATTTAGCAAAATCCAGTCTGAGAGTTTTTTTCCAGTAAGATCTTTTTAATGTTAGAAGGGTGAAAGAGATGGCAACAGTTCCCACATTGGACACTCCTGTAGACAACTTTGGCAAGAATTTATTTCATGCCCAATATTCTTACAAATCATCTTCTTCATGATGACAGTGGAGGCAACTTAGCTTTCTGGCTCACAAGGTTTGATTTCCTCTGTTATTTGGAGGCGTAATTCTTTCATCTCAGTTCTCTGAGTCCTAGAGCAATATCTGAAAGTACTATGAAATGTAATTTTCTCCCCAGACTAAGAATCTAGTAAGTGGTAGAAGACTTAAGAATGACATTCTAGTTTACTTCATAAATATTTAGAACAGTTTCTTCTCTCTCTCTCTTTTTTTAAATGGGCTCACAGACAGGAGAAAAAAAATCAAACTTTTGTATAGTTCTTGGTGGCCAATCTAATATTAAAGCTAACTGCCCCATTCTGTACTTAGAATGACCTCAGTCTGTAACTAACTGGATTGCCTCCAGAGTCATCTATAATTTAATTATATTTATCCCAGCTCACCTAGAACTGAAAATGAAATGGTGACTTTGGTTTGTGAGGCCAGAATCAATAGCCATTAAGAAAATGAGATTTTTTAAATCTAAGAAAAAAAAAACCAAGTACCTAAAATATCCCTTGCATCAGCTTCTATATACTCAGACAATGCATGGATGGTGAAATTTTTATCATGATGCACTATAAAGCTTTTATACCTGGAAAGAAATGGGTTAAGGCAAAAGCAGACTGTTGATCAGAATAAGAGCTAAAAGTTAAGCTTTCAGAGTATTTTGAACGTATGTGGCACATTTAGATAGGAAGACAGATCCTAAGGAAGGACAGAAATAGATGAAAGCTATAGATGAGAAGAAAATCCTGTGTAAGCCAAGTGTATGAGTTTCTCTCACCATGTCATTGGCATCATGTAAATGCCAGACATCATTTTATACACAGTTTAGATATAGCAGATGT